TAGAAGTCCCTGGGTTTGAATTAAATCCTGGCTCCACTGTGGGCAAGTTCACGCAGGCCTTCATGCCTCGGTGCTGTTTTTCGTGGCCTGGGGCTGCGGTGGTAATGGGGCCCTGCCTTGTGAAAGTTGCTGTGTGGATTCCCCGCCAAAGGCTTCCAACTGTGCCTGGCACAAGTATCAGCTATTACCAGTATTTGAAGAGCTGGTAAACTGTTCTTCACCTTCCTTGCAACCACAGCAATTATGTTTGTGTGGAGGACGGGTGCCACTGAGATTAAGACGAAAATGTTTCCCCACCCCGCACTGCGAGGCAGGGAAACAAGTCACCTCGACCATTACTCCCAGAGCAGGTGTCAGCACAGCCGAGGGGCCCTGCACACCCCTCCACTCACACCCTTACCACCTGCTGTGATGGCTCCTTACTGCCAGCAGGCCCGCCTGGCAATGACCTCACCTCTGCATGCCATTCCAACATTCCCCTCTCCCAAACAGGTCTTCCCTCTCAAGACGATTTATAACTTCTTCCATGGTCTCCAGGTGCATCCCCCGAAAGTCTCTCTTCCTCTCCCCGCAAAAGCAGAGCTTAGTAAATCAACCTGCTCTTTAAACCTGCTCCTAGGATGAAGGGAAGCTTCCCAGCATGGCTGGTGAGGGCCTGCCACCCCAACCTGGCCCCTGCCCTCTCCCTCAGCTCACCCTGAGCCCCTCCCCTCAGCCCTGCCAGGGAGCAGCACTCGTCCTTTTAGTTTCTCAAGCTGGCTGTGCTCTCTGCTGCCTTTGCACCCACACACAGTGTTCTGCCCCTTAGCCTCACTGTGCAGGCCCTCACCTCTCAGCTTAAATGCCAGTCAGTCCAAAAGGAGCTTTGACTGCCCACGCTCCCTTCCACTTCCCGGGTCACGCTGTCATCAGGAACGGTTGTAACTGCCTGCCTTCCCAGCTCATTAGAAATCCACCAGGTCTGGCTCACTGCTCAGTCCCAGCATAAAAACAGTTGGCACACGGAGCGCGTTTTAAAAAGAAATGTATCCCCACGTATGCTTGTGGTCTCTCCTCCTTGTGGCATGGACCGCCTCCCTCCAGGGCTGGGGCTTCATCCTTCCATGAGCTCCTCCCCGCACACAATCTTTCCACCGAGGGTCCCTGTGTGAGCACTTTATGGATGGATCGCATCTCTCACAACTGTCTCATAAGAACTTTTTTTTTTTATTATTATTTAGAAATGCAGTTATATACATAGAATTAAAATTAAATTAAACTTTGTACAAATATTAAAATACTATCTTCACACCCACTGCAATGTACAGGATACCAAAAAATATATATAAAATAAAGCAAACCCAAACTGATTGACATCCTGCACAGTCTATGATGCAAGTGTTGTTTAAACCATTACGAGTACCATTCTGCAAGGTTCCATAGTGGTGTGATAAGCCAGGGCAGCGTGTGGTAGGCAGCCACACAACCCGCATCCCTCTCTCCTTCCTGCCTGGCAATCCAAGTGCTCTGCGGCCTGGTGCAGGGTTTAACTTGGATGTTTTCATTCAAAATTCTACTAGGTTTTCAACTGGAGATTAAGAGGAGTTTCCCAGCAAAGCTGAGCCCACCAAGCAAAGTCCCTCTGAGCCCTTCACTGATCATCAGCAATGTCTGCCCCTGTGCTGAGCCCCAGGAGGCCCCGAGAGAAGCTCCCAGCCAGCACATCTGGGGTTCAGCTGGAAAGCCTGCAAACCACTTCCTTTCTGGGTCCTTTATTCTCTTTAAAGAGGAAAAAAAGAGAGAGCAAGGATGTAGAAATATTTGCAGCATATTCCGCTCTTGATGTAAGCATGTAACCTGGGAATGGAAGGGACATTGTTACGGGGGAAGCAGTGGTCGGAGTGCTCAGCCGAGACTAGGAGGGAGAGGCGAGTGCTATTGTCCCTGTGCCACCACTAGCGAGGCAGGAAGAAGATACCTTTGTCGGTCTGTCATGCAGCTTCTCCACAGAACATTGGGGTGGGGGGTGGAGAGCAAGATAACATTAGTTCTAGTTTTATTTGCAAATGGAGTGTTAGCACACACACTGAAATGCCTTGTAACCCAAAAACTCAGTTGGCCAGGACAGCCCATTTCACAGTTCACACTGAGTGAAATGGGAGCACAGCACACAAAATCCAGAAATGGCAAAAGATAAGAGCCTACTTGCTAAACGAAGGCATGGAAAGGGATGGAAATATAAGTGATCTTCACCAGAGACTGGCCCTTGTAAGTAACTGGACTGTAGCTGCAAGTTGCCAGGACATAAAACCTGCATTGAGTTAGCTCAGGTGTGCAAAAAAATACCTTTTCAAAGAAAGATCCTTTGGTGCCAACCATTGTCCTGGACAAGCCCTCACTCCCCTAGAGGCTGTGGGCGGTTTCCCCCATCTGCTCCAGGCTCCTGACAGCCTCCTTCCTGGCAGCCTGCCACCAACCCCCTTCCTGTCTTAGTCAAGCCCCACTTAGGCAGCTGTAAAGTCCCTAATCCCCTGCAGGGGACAAAACCCAGAAGCTCCTGGAATAGTAGCAAATGGTTGACGGCAAGAAATTGCTTCAGGGAAAGAGGGAAAGAGAACGAACAGCTGTCATGGATGCCAGCAGGATGAAGCCTAGTTCCCGCACCCACAGAAGTGGGCCTCATCCGTGTCCCTGACAAGAGAGTGGGGTGAGGAGAGGTGGGGCCAAAACCGGAGGCCCCCATTTACCCTTTTTTCTCCCCGACCAGGCACACAAGTCTGGGTCTGTGACCCCAGGACATGTTGGCGGCGGCTGGTTGGAAGAACGCTGCTGAAGGAAGGCTTTTCATTTTTCCAAGGCCGGAGCCAGTAACCTATGGGGCTGAATAATCCCCAAACAAAAAGTGCAACCTCTTAGGGGAGGAAAAATGCCTGAGCAATGCTATGAAAAAGGGGCAAGATCTCTCATTAAAAGAAAAAACTTGGCTAGAACTCAGGTTTTAGATGACTGGGACTAAATCAGCAGGCTTAACAGACTCCAAATCCCACACCGTGTGCCCTGCTTTATTTTTGGCGGAAGACAGGGGTACCCCTGCGGGGAAGGAGAGCCTATGCACTTGGGGGGTGGGGAGGCAGCTGGGTCCTGAGGGACTCGCCCTCCAGATGGGCCCAGAGCCCACGACCACTGGCAGGCACTCTTCTGGAAATGGCCTCTTTTGAGGCGAAGGACAGCCCCTGGGACATTTCATCTCCCTCAGACTCTGACCTCTGGCTCTGGCACCTTTGACAACCTGTTCCATGCCGAACCATGCTGGCCTGGGCTTCAGGCACAGGACTCGCAGGCTCCGGGGTGGGAGGGGGTGGGGAGGAGTGGCTAACAGGCACAGCAGGCACTGCCCTTACCCTGAGAGAAAGCAGGGGCAAAAAGAGGCCAGGAACGAGCGGGTAGTAAAGTGCGTGTGAGAGTGGAGGCAGGAGGCTGAGCGGAGGCCATTCCCCTAATCTTCCAGGCCACCCCCTCCTGGAGCTACCCTGCTTGGCCAGCTATTGGAAATATATTGGGCTCCTCATTACTTTTACCACCCAAGAGGCTCGGGGAAGGAGCGGAAGGCCAGCATGGGGGAGTGGGCACCTCTGAAGTTCCCTAGCCCCAATGCCACGTCTTTTAAAGATGGAAGCAGCCTGCCTGAGCTCTGCCACCCAGCCTTGTCAGCATTCGCGACGTGGCTAAGGGAGAACTGAGAGCCGGAGCAGAAGCATCTGGAGCAGGGAGGCCACTCCTTCACCACCAGGGCCAGGTGCCAGGCTGCTCTGCAACCCTTCACCCACAGGCAGCCTGCACGGTGTGTCTGTGGGGGGTGAGGACTGCCTCTCGGCCCCTCCCCCAGGCCCTGGACGACCAGGGAGCCATCTATCAGCTGTGAGCGGGAAGGGACAGCAGGGGAGGCCAAGAGTAAGAAAAGCAGCAGTGCAGCAAGCAGCAGGACGCTTCCTGGGCCAGTTACTAAGGCACGTGACTGTGGTGAGGAGGACCCTCAGGCCTGGGGCTGGCGCTGCCTGCAGCTGCCTGGGGACTTCGTCTGTACCTCTCAGGTTCCCCTCCGTCACCACGAACCCAGAACGGGCAACTTGCCCAGTGACCAGACGGGCAGTCCCTGGCATCTCGGCGAGCTCCTGTCCCAGGGATGATTCCCCTCAGAACTCCACGGGCAGCAAGGTAGCAGGCGGCCCGCATAAACCCCAGGAGGCAGCATGCAGCTTCCCCTTATGCTCCAGGGAAAGAAAAGCGGAAGCCAGGAAGCCACGCTGAAGGAGGTGGAACCTGCATATTAGGAAGACAACCAGGATCTCCTGGAAGCTCAACACAGCAGGGCCAGGAGCTGGCACCTGAGCTGACAGCCGGGTGCTGGGTCAGCTTTGGCAGGATACCCCCATCCTCCGTCCCCAGCCAAGAAAACGTGCCACCCGTGTCAACCAAGGGCAGGCCCAGGGACCCACACTCTTGCTCCAGTTAGAGTCCCTCTTGTCTCCCCAGCTCCCCCTCTTGGATCTGCTCCTGGTAAGCCCTCCAAGGAAACAAGCCAGACTCAGGCCCACCCCTTGTGTGGCAGGGGGCAGCAGTGCAGCCACTAAGGCTTGTAGGAGAGCAACAGGCCTGCGTGACAGGGAACCTGGACAAGGAGGGGGAAGGCACAAGTAAACACAGCGGTTCTCAGGCCCATGGGCTGGTGGGGCGGCTGCCAAAGAGTTGCCTGGAGGGCTCCCAGAGGCCTCAGGGAAAGGAAGGGTTCAGTCCGGCACATTCGAACATGTTCCCGACACAGATGGGAAGGCTGGACCAGGCAGAAAGCCAGTTCCTCCAGCCGTCAAGCAGGCAGATGGCAAGAATCTTCCTTGAGTTTCCAGCAAGGTGGGCCTGCATGCCCTCAGAGATCCACAGGTGGCAGCTCAGATAGCCGGGCACAGGGAGAGGGAAGAAGGGCAGAGAGGACCATTGCAGAAGAGAGAGGTCGGTGGCAAACCTCATGCTTCTTTCAACAGCGGGATGTCTGTACGAAGAGAAGGAAGGCACAGTGGTTACCCACATGGGTCTCTGCAGCACACCAGATCCCACTGTAGGGGCCCTTAATTTAAAGAAAGAAAATGCACTACTCATACTCTTCTAGGTAGTCTAGCTCTCTGGTCTCTTTTTTAGTACTCTTTGGCTCATCTCTCCCCTGCTTATATGATAACATCTGGTGTTCAACCCCTTCTGATTTCCCTTCTCTGCCTTTACTGCTTGTCTGGTTGCTTCTCTTTCTGTCCTTAATCTCACCCTGTGATAGTACTAAGCTCTGTTCAAGTCCCACCTCCTCCTTCATGTCACTGTCCAGCTGTGTGACAGTGAATAACTGACGCTGCAAGGTCCTGGCTTCCTACGGTGCTGTCGGTTCCAGACGGTTTGGGCATGGCCTGCAACAAACTTGATAACTGACGTGTTTTGTTTTCTGAACCCCTCATTTTGGCATGGACCCAATGACTCTCGAGTATAAGCCCAATTTTCACAAGTGACTGACAATCCAAACAGGCAGAATGTTTTCTATTTTTTTGTATCCACCCTGAAACCTAACCTGGCACTAAGCACAAGATGGACTCTCAAAATGCTTGTTTGGCTGTGTGCTTTAGGAGGGAATTCTAGTCTCAACCTAAATGTTGTCTGAACACATCCGCATTCCCTGGCCTCCTTTTTTTGGTTTTGGGTAAACATTAGGGGTGTTAGTCTCAAACTGTGAAGTGACATCTCAAAAGCAGTCCCTAAGGACCTATGGCTTCACTTGAATTTAAACCAGTTCTAGATAGGAAAACACCCAAGTCCCTTCATTTGCTTTTTCAGTTGGGTAGCACATCCCATATTTTAGAACAAGTACGGTGCCCTGCTTAAATAAAAATAGCATTTAATGAATCATTGTGGGAAGGGTTTATGGATAAAGCTGTACTTCTGTCACATTGTGGCAGTACATTCTGCTTTCATATTAAATAGCTTGTTATCTAAATATTAGGTAAAAAAAATGCTTGTTTGGTACATGGAACAAAGCGAAGTAGCAAGAAGGGAAAGCGCTGGCACCATCGTGGCTCCTTAGGAAGGGCAAGGCCTGAGATTTACACTTGGACATTGTCACTCTGTGTGAACACACAATGTGTGTGCACTGGGACAGACAGTATGTGTGGCTGGCTGCCCATGGGGTCAACGATTTAGTTGACCTTTCCTAGCTCTTTATTCTAAAGAAGAAAGGGATGTTGCTAATCATTGGGGAACTCCATAAACATGATCTGCATTCAGATATGCTAAGCATTAGACACTGAATGTGTCTGGGATAAAAGCATAAAGCTTTCTCGGGGGCGGAGGAGGTTTGTAAGTACAGAAGTACTCGCTGTCAAAAGGGAAACATCTAGGTTTTGTCTGTATCCTGAACCACATTGGGATTTCATGTGAAGTGATAGAGTCAATCCCAACATTCAAGTCTCAAGGCCCTGGCAAAAGCAGAGGTGTCAGGAGGTGGCAATTTCGTTCTACAGCTGGTTTGCCAGAAAGGACTTGGGAGTCATTTGGGAGGCAGCACGGCACCATGGGTCATAAAACACAGGCTTTGGAACCGATCCCCCTGGCTTCATATCCCAGCTCACCAATTACCAATGGGCAAGTGACTTAGCCTCTTGGAGCCTCAGTATCCTCATCTGTAAAACGAGGACAGTAGCATGTAACACCTACCTCTCAGGATCACAGTGAGGCTAACTGAGATAGTGTAAGAAAACCACTAGCACAGGCCTGGCATACTCCTATTTAAGACGGAGCAGCTGAATGCTATGGAAAAGAAACAGGCACCAGTTTTCTCTGTAACATGACCCCACACAACTCCCCATAATCCCTGACCTTTCAGAAGTATAAAATTACATGAGGACAGACCCCATCTTCACCTCCAACCAGCTGTTTACCCTTTGATGTAGAACAGCCCTGTGGCCATGAATAATTTTGGCGACTCCAAACTACCAAAACTCACAGACCACAATGAAAGTCTCCCTATAAAGAGCTCAAAGAACCACCTAGAACTGAGGGTAAAATCCTATTTTGCAGGCTAATACCCCAGGTATTATCTTTGTCTCCCCACTTCCCCCAATACTCCAATTATTAGAGGCTCACATCCTTCCTTACTCCCAGGAGCTGCTAGCAATTCACGATCGGTGCAGACCACCTACCGTCTGTGTAGTCCTCCGATGTGAGGGATAAGAGGCTTTGTATGTCACTGTTCTCTGAATCCGGGGCTTCTTTGTGTGCCAGCTGGCTGTTCCCTGAGCCGGCCACCCAGGAAGAGGTGGTTGCCTGATGCACTATCACAGTCTCTGAGCCCTGGGAGCCCCAGGCTTCACACAGTCCAGACTGGCCCGGGGCCTCCTCCTCTCCACCTGCAGAGGAGCAGGCCCCCTGGTCCTGTAGCTGCTGCTCCCTTGGCCCATTCCTCTCACTAGGCCCAGACCCCTCTGACAGCACAATCTGCACTCTGGGGTCAGCGGGCGGCACGCAGTGACCGGAACTGCCATACACAGCCTCTTCATATGACGGTAGTGCAACTTGGACTCCATCCACCATGATGGAGACTTGGTCCCCAGATACCCCCTGGTCACGCCTGCATCCGGAGGAAAAGACAAAGGAAGAATTAAAATACACAAATAAATACCATAATATTGTACAAACAACACTAACCATTTTTGAGCACTTACTATGCGCCAGACACAGCACTGAGTGCTTTACATACTTTATCGCACTGAATCCTCATCGGAGCCCTTTCCAGTAGAGCTTCACCAACAGTGCAGGTGAGGCTCAGAGAAGTTAAATAACTTGCTCACAGTCAAGAGCTAGTAAGGGAAGAAGCTGGGATTTAAATCCAGTTCCACCTGCTTCCAGAAACTGTGTTCTTAAAACCTCTGGGTACACAGGCACCTAGCCCTCTGGTCCTGTGCAAAACTGGGAACCTAGAAATAAAGCCATTCCTTCAGCACAGCTAGAATAAGAAGTGAGAAGATGGCTGCTACCTGTGAAAAGAACTAAAAACTATTGCCTGTATGTGTAAGTGAATACAGTGAATGATGTGTAAAGTATATCTCCAGGTCCGGCCAGCATGGCTCATTAGTTGAGCATCAACCTATGAAGCAGGAGGTCATGGTTTGATTCCCGGTCAAGGCACATGCCCCGGTTGTGAGCTCAATCCCCAGTGTGCAGTGTGCAAGAGGTTACCAATCATTGATTCTCGTTATTGATGTTTCTATCTCTCTCCCTCTCCCAATCTCTCTGAAATCAATAAAACTATATTAATATATATATATATACACACACACACATACATACACATATACTATATATATAAAGTATACTCATAAAATGGTTCTTATCTATTTTATTTTTCACTCAACATTATGTTTGTGAGATTTGTTCATGCAGACGCTTTTTAGAGGATCACTTGTTATGAATATACACACATACATCCTTTTTAAGAAAAATCTGAACCATTTTGAAAGTTGAAGACATTATTCAGTGCATACCTCCCAAGAACCTTGTCTCCTATATATCCACAATTATCATTACATCCCAGAAGTTTAACATTGGTATACTACTGTGACACAAATTCCCCCATAAATATACCCATTTCAGCTGTTGTTTGTTTTCACCCAGGACCCGTTTAAGGATCATGCACTGCATTTAACTGTCCTGACTCTCTTCCTATCTCCTTTAATCTAGAACAATCCCCTGCACTTTTTCTTTCATGACAATTTTTTTTCTAGACTTCAGGCCAGCTGTCTCTTAGTCCCACATTCTGGACTTTTCTAATTGTTTCTTCAGGATTACGTGCAGGCCATTTTTTTTTTTTTTTTTTTTTTTTTTTTTTTTTTACCAGAACCCATAGGTGATGTGTCCTCAGTGCATTACAATCGGAGACATATGGTATGCTGGACAGATTACTAGACTGTTACTAGTTCTCAATTTCTTCATCTGTACTTGGAGATAAAATCTGTGCTACTCAATTCAAATAAAGTCCACACTGTAAGGATGACAGAAGTGACACTTCATAAAGGTACTTATGAGTACCTGGAAGGAAGACAAACTTTGATGGCAAGGAGGTATTAGAAGGCAGTGTATATTCTGGCATGTGCTTAACTTTAAATGTTAAAAATACATTTTTTGTTTAAAAAGTAATGCACGTACACAGTACAAAATGCAAACAGGGTCTCAAATAAAAACCAATCTCCCTTCCACTCAAATCAGGCAAAATCAGCTAATTACCTTTAACAGACTTACTAGTTAACTGCAAAAAGGAAAACTCCCTAATGTGAATGAAATGTAGTTGACTTTATGTGGAAATAGTTGATTCCTTCAAGTAAACAATCCCTTCCAAACCCTCTTTATTCTATTAATTGCTGAGCAACCTTTAAAAATAGTGGTTAGAAAAGATAGATATAGAGACAGTAAAGCAACAAGCAGACTGTCAAATTACAGTGGGGAGGGGAGGGAGATCTGGGGGAGATAATAGATCAACCGAAGGACTTGTATACATGCATATAAGTACAACCAATGGACATAAAACTCTGGTGGGGGAGGATATGTATGAGAGGGAGGGAGGGAGGCGGACAAAAAAAATCAATAAAATATATTTTAAAAAAATAAAATAAAATAAAAATAGTGGTTAGATGCCGAAACCAGTTTGGCTCGGTGGATAGAGCGTCGGCTTGCAGACTAAAAGGTCCCAGGTTCGATTCCGGTCAAGGGCATGTACCTTGGTTGTGGGCACATCCCCAGTAGGGGGTGTGCAAGAAGCAGCTGGTCAATGTATCTCACTCATTGACATTTCTAACTTTCTATCCTTCTCAATTCCTCTCTGTGTAAAATCAATAAAATATATATTTTTTAAAACATAAAAAAAAAAAAAAAAAAAAAATAGCGGTTAGAGCATCAACCCATGCACTGAAGGATAAAAGGTTTGACGCCCAGCCAAGGACACATACCTCAGTTGCGGGTTTGCTTCCTACCCCATCAGGGCATGCACAGGAGGCAATCAGTTGATGTCTCTCTCACATCAACATTTCTCTCTCTCTCTCTCTCTCTCTCTCTCTCTCTCTCTCTCTCTCTCTCTCTCTCTCTCTCTTTCTCTCTCTCTCTCTCCACCATCCCCCTCTACTCTCTTTGGAAAGCAATGGAAAAAATATCCTCATGTGAGGATTTAAAAATAAAAATAAAAAAAGGTGGTATGCCCCCCCCCCCAACTAAACAAAAGATTAAATTGAGCCTGGTCCTTGTCTGTAAATCCCAAATCAGAAGCACTTTATTTAAAGCAGTTTAGTCTGTTCTTTCATTCCTTTAGCCTGTGAGAGTGATAACAGTGACTGATGAAGGACTTGAATGAATAGAAACTGTTCCTGAGAAAGGAAATGAGCTATTGCAGAGGCCAAGACAGGTGGGAGAGAAGTCCATCCTAAGGGATCCAACTTGGGGCCACTCCTCACTATTGGCCAGCCCCCTCCCCAACCACACCCACCCAGTCTGGAATGTGGCTAATGCACTCAAACTGGAAAAAGTCAGGCAAGAAAACGCCCCTCTGTTTTAGTATGGTATAGTGCACTGGCTCCAAGTCCTAGCTGCACATTGGAACCCACTGAGGAACTGTATAAGACACTAGTGCCAGATTCCCACTCCAAACCAAATAAATCAGAATGGCTGGGGCAGAGGCCCAGGTGTTGGTATGTTTTCTACTCTGAGCAGGAGCCTCTATATACAGCCAGAATTGGGAAGCAGGTATATTGGGCAGTGACTTGTAAATACGAGCCTGCATCAAATCACCTGGAGGAAGAGAGGAACCCTGTCACTCAGCCTCAACCCCAGAGTTTCTATCAGTTGGTTTGGGGTGGGAACTGAAAATTTGCATTCCTAAAAGTTCCCAGATGGTACTGATGCTGCTGGAACCACACTTTGGGAACTACTGATGTAGGAAAAAAACATAGTTTTGGAGTTGGCAGATATGAGTTCAAATCTCAGCTCTGTCATCATCTAGAGCAGTGGTCACCAACCGGTGGTCCTTGGACTAGTGGTGGTTCGTGAGGTCCCAAAGGGGGCAACCACTGTTGTTTAAGGAAACCTTTGGAACAGTGGTCACTAAACGGTGGTCCACGAGGTCCAAAAGGTTGGCAACCACTGATCTATCGATAGAAGGATGACCTTGAGTAAACGACTTAACCACTCTGAGCCTATTTCCTTATCTTCAATATTCCCGTGAAAATTTTTTGAAATTGAATTTATTATATAGGTTGATAAAATTATATAGGTTTAAGGTGTACAGTTGTATAATACATCATCTGTATATTGTACAGTGAGTTCATCTTATGAGGAGTAAGATAATGTATACAAAGCAACAAGCACAGTGTCAGGCACATCAGCACATGACAGAGCCCTCCCCTTCCCTGGGCACCTACAGGCCAGCAGGAAGACATGCCAGCCAAAGGCCAGGCCCACAGTGATGCCTGCCACCCATGCTCACCTGCTATGATGGAAAGACTTCAGCTTTGGCTGCAGCAACACAAACAGCACCACAAGGAGGAGAATGAGTGCCACGGAGCTGGCAGTGGAAGCCACGATGGACAGTGTGGGGACCCCAAGTGATGTCTTGGTGTCTTTCTCTGCAGAAACAAGCCATCATCAGAAGGTATTTGTATCCAGACAAATACATGAGCCCCACAGCTGATCTTATAAAAAACACCCTGCACAGTGTTGTGCAGAGACATACCTTGGCCAAGGCCGTTTTTAGGAGTAACAATGCAAAGTAGTTTATACACACAAGAAACGGGACCATTCCCTATCCTTAAGCTATTATTCCCTTCTCTGTGGGCCTGTGAGGACCATCTGACACCTAAACTCACTCACCTAAAGATCTTACCTTTTTAAAGGGTAACTTACTAGTTACCTTTTAACCAGTAGCCAGCTGGTAGACAGCAATCATTGAGATGAACCCATTAGCCCACCATTTTTAAGTCCCACATATCTTTTTCCCTATGTGGCAGAAAAATTTTAAGAAATGGGCTGTAATAACCTTACCCTGTTCTAAGATCCTGCAGCTTTAGTTGTAACTCTCAGGCTGGTTCCCACCCTTCCCTGGGATGTGATGGTTTCTGAGCCCAAGTGGGAAACACAAAGATGGCTGTATACTTTCCTGCAGGCAGCTGGATTTTCCCGTCATGCATGACAGGAGTGGGGGAGGTCTTCTGCCAGCTGGACTACGGCTCCATAACAAAACAGTTCATTACCATTCAAAAATAATAATATAAAAGAAACACTATAGAAGGTGTTAGCATGGTGCTCACGTGTTAGCAGAGCACGGTCAAAGGTCACCAGCACTTGGCTAGGCAAACAAAAGATCAGGAGCATCAAAGGGACCTTACACAGCCGAACAGATGCCTCAGCAAAGCTTCTGAGCCCTTGGTGGCTCAGCTGAACCACAGTGGGACACACACCAGCAACCCCAAATGTTTTCACGAAGATATGAAATCCTAAAAAAAGGGAGTCTGCAGGGCATCAAAGGGCCCATACTGCCGCACAGCACAGGATGCTCAGGAAGAAGCGGGCGCCACTTCCCTTGAGTTACAAGAAAACAGAACCCCTTTCTCATCTGCCAAACTCACCCTCGTTAAGATGGCAGCTAATCTCCATGGCTGGTTTCCATTCACCATTCTTACACGTCAGGTATTTGTAATCGCCTTTTAGCACGTAGCCTTCAGCACACAGGTACTCGATGACACTGCCCGAGTTCAAGGGGTCTCTGCAGGGCCGGGGGTGGCAGACGTAGCCACCATTCTCTGGCTCCGGGGGCAGGGAACACACTGCAAAGACAAAAAGAGAGCGAGGTTTTCCAGTGGGAGTCCTCTCGGTGACTCAGAGGACAGTTCCAAAGGCTTCAACAAGAAACACAAGGAGCACAGAGCTAGTGTCTTGGAGAGGCTGTTGGCCCAATGTGGAAATGCAGGCTGCTGCTGAGAGAGTGAGGGCGCTGGCAACGATTTTAGTTTGGCCGATTCCAACACTCCTCTCCCCACTGTTCCCACAAGTGAATGGTAGATTGGCAAAGTCCTGAATTTATGGAGATCTAGCACATAATATGGCTTTAATAACACCTGCTGAAACACACAATGAATCAGTGAAAGGTGGTAACAAACTCTTTAACTTGCATGGGGGGAAATGTTAGCCTTATTTCCAGCATCAATATTAGAAAGGGCTCCACTGTGTAATAAAAATGTGCCTTCTCGCCCGGCTGGTGTGGCTCAGTGGTTGAACATCGAACTATGAAACAAGAGATCACAATTTGATTCCCGTTCAGGGCACATGCCCGGGTTGTGGGCCTGATCCTCAGGGTGGGTGTGCAGGAGGCAGCTGATTAATGATTCTGAAATCAATAAAAATGTATTAGTAATTTAAAAAATAGCCTTCTTGGTGGCAGAGGGGATTTCTATTGGATTTCCTGGGAGCACCTCACACTTCCTGACTATAATAGTCACTGCTGTCACTTGTCTCCAGCCCATAGTAAATCTTACATTGTTTCTTGGGGGTAAGTCTAGTTTTAAAAGCACTTTCCACAATACAATATACAAATGATGTTTTACAGAATTGTACACTTGAGACCTGTATAATTTTATTAACCAATGTAACCCCAATAAATTCAATAAAATATATATATATTTTTAAAAAAAGCAATTTGTCGCCTATCCTAGTCGTTCTGACAACTCCATAAGGAATCCGTTCTGACATCCCCTTTGAAGATGAGGACACCAAGGTCCACAAAAGTTAAATAACTTTTAGCCAAGTGTATGTAGATTAAATGGCAGACCTGGGAGGAGAGTCAAGTCTTCTGGTTCTAAAATCTATGCTCTTTACACCAGCAGACACTGCTTCTGCCCCATTAGCTAGGTGGGCCTTTAAGAAGTGTCAAGTGTATCATTCAAACACTGGGAACCCCAGTGTAGAGAAGCTGCAGTAATGATCAGTCACAGAAGCTGGTAGGTAGGAGGTCTGAGCAGCCTGGAGGAGAGATTCCATGGCCTGCCCTTCTGACCCTGGACAGACACCGCAGAACTGAAATCCCAGGAAGTGGATTAAGTGGTGTACTGAGCCAAAATAGGAGGGGCACAGCATGGGCACTAAGGGATCATTGTTTGGAAGACTAAGCTGGGGGAGAAGACCCACTGGCCCGGATGAACAGGCCCCCACAAACTTCAACTTTCCAAAGCCTTACGAATGCAAGAAAAATAAGTTTCCAAAGGACATTCAATTTTGCTGACTAACACCCTGCCCCTATTTCAAATACCACAAGGACATCAGTATTAAGAACAGGAACTGTGGGTTTCTTGTTTTGTTTTGTTTTTCACTTCCTCTAACAAACCTAGAGTCTGTCTGTCCCAGATATGGTGATCTCCCATTCAGAGGCCCACCCACAGCTCTCTCACTCAGAGGTGCCCTTACAGCCTCTCACCAAATACCACTTCCCTTCAACCTACAAATGCTCTTCTTGGTGAGGATAGAGGATGGATATCAAAACTAAAAGGGGAAGACGGCTCTCTGCTCTCTGGTTGCTTATCACTAAGATGGGGGCAAGCTCCATTTTAAAAGAGTTGTTACTAAAACAAAGCTGGGGTCAGGAGGAAAAGTCTGAAACTAGGAGATGAGCCCACATGTCTCCTGAGTCCCCTCTAAGGACACACCTTCCCAAAGCTGTTCCAAAGCCATCAGGACACAGGCAGACACCAAACACTCCTGCTGGTGCCTCTTTAAACTTCAGCCAAAGAGTTCAAAGAGCTGGCCAGCTAAATTTCCAAAGAAGCCTCAGCAAACTGCTTCACCGTGTACCACAGTTGCCTCCGGCTCTCCTCCAGCTTGTCTAATTGGTTCATTTCCTCAGCATAATTAATGCTGAGCATCCCAGGACAGCTCCTGAACTAGGCAAGACCCACATACAGGTCCAGTGTGTTGGGAAGGATGGTCTCCAGGGAAGAGCTGATTCTAAAGCCGCTCCTGCTTTGCTGGGAATTTATGCTCTTAAAGCCCGTATCTTCACAGCATCTTTGAGTGAGATCCCGAAGGTCACCCAGCACTCATTTTTATAAGTAAAAAAAGTGAGGTCTTCAAAGAAGCGACTTGTAATTCAATTTCATTTCAATTCAACTAATATTGATTGATTATTAAGGGTCATTGTGCTATGCTCTGAAAAAGGATAAAAACATAAGGACTTCGCCCATCCAGTGTAGTTCAATTGATTGAATGTCATGCCATGCACCAAGAGGTCACCAGCTTCATTCCTGGTCAGTGTACATTCCCAGGTTGCAGGCTCGATTCCCAGTAGGGGCGTAGAGGAGGCAAATAATCAATGTTTCTTTCTCTCTCTCTCTCTCTCTCTCTCTCTCTCTCTCTCTCTCTCTCTCTCTCTCTCCATCTCTAAAAAAAAAAAAAAAAAAAAATCATAAGATAAAAAAAAAAGCACTTCCGGTACTTGTAGTCTAATAAGAATATGACAAATAAGTGCATGCATATATTTTGAAAGTCATTTCTTTCTAGCTCCTGGGTTTTGTGTCTTTTTTTAACTTTAAAAAAAATATATATATATATATACACACATATTTTATTGATTTTTTAGAGGAAGAGAGATACAGAGTTAGAAACATCGATGAGAGAGAATCATCTATTAGCTGTCTCCTGCACACCCCCCACTGAGGATGTGCCCACAACCAAGGTACATGCCCCTTGACCGGAATCGAACCCGGACCTTTCAGTCCACAAGCAGAAGCTCTAGCCATTGAGCCAAACCGGTTTCGGCTGGGTTTTGTGTCTTAAGGACACTTTCTCTACTCTGAGATTATAAAAATATTCTCCAGAACTTACAGATTGGATCTTCATTATGCAAATAATATCTTTACAGGGGAAAAACACATAGTAAGAATATATACATGGTATAAAATTTAAAAACTAAGATGAGTATATGCCGGAAACCAATTACTGTTTCACTAATAGAGAGATGTGGACAGGAAGCCAGGAAGGCTGTCAACAACATTAATTGCTCTAACTACTCACCCTTTAGTTGAGACATTATTAGCTGAAGCAGCCTCCACCTCTGTTTGTCCTATGTAAATTTCTGTTATTTCCTGCCTAAGCCCTATGGGTGTTTTCCCCATAGCCTCAATAAAAGGGGATGGCTGGGCCAGATCAGTGAGTAGTTCTCCCACTAGAAGTGGACTACCGCCTGGCCCCCCATATCGCCAAATTAAATTTCTTCTAGTCTGTTTTCATTTGTGTGTGGCCCTTCTCCAGAACCCAAGCCCTGAACTGGGACCCTGAACCATGCAGGACGTGAAAGGGGATCCCACAAGTATAGAGTCAAAAGTTAGCTCTTCTCCCATCTCCTAGTCACTCAGTTCCTCTCCCCAAAGGCACTGGATGAGTATTCTTCCTAAAATATTCTACACACAAATTTATTCCAAGACATGTCAAAGAATGTGATGGGCGCCACAAGAGAAGGAGCTCAAAGCAGGAGAGATCATACCTTGTGTGGGAGAGATGAGAAAAGGCAGCATTTCATATGGGGCCTTATTTCCTTGGGAAATAAAGTTTGAAGCAATGCAGGAAAGTGTAGTTGTTAAGCCCAGCCAACATCAAGTAGCCCTCATTAGCTGGATTGGATAATAAAAAAATTTGTCCCCCAAAAATGTGAGAAGCAATGAAACCATCTTGAAGAGGGCCTTGATGGCAACGGGAGATGTCTGCACTGTATTACAAGGAAAAGGGGAGCCTCTGCAGGGTCTTGAGAAAGGCAGCATTCTAAGAGGAGCTGAATTTGATATAAGATGGACCAGAGATAGAGAAAGCCAACAATACAGCTACCCTAATAGGGTAAAATAAATACTACCAAAGTTCTTTTATGGTCGTACAAAGGCAACAAGAGTATATGAGGTTCACAATCACAAAAAAATCTGTCCCAGGCCCAAGGAAGGAAATGAGGACGACTCAAGAAAAAAAATTTTTTTTTTAAGTATTTCAAGACAACAAAAACCTAAGGGGGAAAATGGGCCCCTTGCCAATTCAAAGAGCATAATGGGAGAGTCTCAGCAAAGGGCAGGTGTGGGAGCAGACCCCTCAGTGACGCCTGGGGTTAACAGGAAAGAAAAGATCAGGAACAGCAAATAAATCATTTCATGGCTTCCTGAAACTACTGTTTTGGGCAAGAAGCTGAGCATCAGGCTCACTCTCTAACAACCCTGGTCCGTAGAGAGTTTCAAGCTCTGTTGTTAACCCCAAGAAGTGAATGAACTCATCTGATTTGGCAAAGCTGTACAATTTTAAAAAGAGAGTGAGAAAGCCAGAAGATAGAAATTTTACAGAAAAAAAAAAAATCAATTCTCTACTTAGCTCTCTTCTCTGCTTTCCATTATCTCTCACAATCACTTAGGCTGCCAGTGAGCACAGGAAATGGTGAGATAATGCTTCAAGGGGGCCCGGCAGCGTGCCCGAGGCACAGCAGTCATTCTGTGACCGTCCATCCAACCAGCTGGTGAGTGTGCAGACAGAAGAGAAGCAAAACAATCTACCTCAATGTGCCTGCAGCCTCAGACCCTCAGCAGAGATCAATAAGAACAACCCTCACTCAATCTGCTCTTCAACGTTTTTTGCATTTGTTGTTTTGGAGACCAGCTTTTTTAGGAGGAAGAGGCAAATTAAAAGAAAACAAACCTTCATAAGATTACATAAAAAACAAGTCCTAGCTGGTTTGGCTCAGTGGATAGAGCACTGACCTGCGGACTGAAAGGTCCCAGGTTCGATTCCAATCAGGGGCACATGCAAG